TCTTTCACTTTTTCTATTTAAATAAAATTAACATTAATCATTATCCTCCTTCCCTTCCCTTCCCTTCACTTTACTAAGACTGCTGTTTGGTAAAGGGAGGCAGTCTGCTAGAGTTTGCTGCGAAGCAGTGGACGGACCAGGAGCACAAGGCTTTTGGTGGTTTGTGGTGAGCGAACTAGGGGCACGAGGCTTTTGTTGGTTTCTCACGGGCAGACTAAAGGGTGCAAAGCTTCTGGTGGTCTGTGGCAGGTGGACTAGGGGGTCGAAAATTCTGAGGGCTTGCGACGTGCTTGAGTCTGCTAGAATGGGACACTGGTAGGTGGCTAGGTTGGGTCTTGCCGAGAAAGAACAAGGATTGTGGTTGGGTTGGTTGAAAGGGGAGAAATCTTCTTGCTGAATGAGTGGAGCTCGCTTGCCTGATGAGGATACAGTCTCTCCTCCAGCCTAGCGCATACCTTCCCCTACGATCATCTATTAAATCTCTAACAATTTCTTTTTAGCCTCTGTGACATAAAACTATAGGAATGATCTTTGTAATTTCTCTTAATTATTAGTAAATCTTGTTACCAATTCATCAGTTCACATGAATGTCAACCACCAATTTCAGTTTCAGTATGTTTATCTTTTACATTGAATTTGAAGAGTTACAAGAGCTATACACCAGTGCAAAATGCCATACAACTGAATTCAGATCGGAAGAAGATTTTTTTTTTTTCTTCTAACAATTAGAGTATTTTCAAATCAATTTACTGTAAATCCTGAAATTAATTACTCTTTAGTTCTGTCAAAAATAAATCATTTATAATAAAAATTAAAAAATTTATAAAAAAATTACATGTTTATTAATTGGTTTTTTTCTTCAGTTTTCTGAAGATCTTAGCATTACATCTGGTTGATTCTGTTAATGTGGTGATTTTTTATTTTAGGTTAAATGCTAAATTTGGTCCCTCGACTTTAGTGAGTTACACATTTTTGGTTCCTTAATAATTTTTTGCACTTTTTTGATACTTCAACTCTAAGAAATGCACACCGTTAGTCTTTCTGTCAATTTAGACCATTAATTACGACATGTGGCACTTTTTATAATTTTTTTAATGACATGGCGAAAACAACTTAAAAAAGCGTCAATCTGGAATTCTTTTTTAAGACACATCATCGCCAATTCATAAACCGATTTTGCCTTAATAAAAAAATAAAAAATTACAAATTTACCCGTCTCCTTTTCTTGATCCATCTTCTTCCCCTCTTTTGATCATCTTCTTCCTTTCTTTTTTTTCTTTTTCTTTCTTCCTCTTCTTCCTCTATGTCTACTAGGTTCGGTGGAACCCAGTTTGCTGGGTTCCGTCGAACCCAGCTCCACTTTTTTTTTTTTTTTTTTTTGTTTCAATTAGGTTTTAATTGTGACACTAAATAATAAACCAGAAAAATATAATGGTTTTGATTTTTTGACAATGAAAAATTATTGCAAATCTCATGATATTTACATGATAATAAAAGTGTGTATTTATATTAAAAGAGAGTAAATATAAAGCACAATATATCATATTATAAGATTTTATTGTTAATAAATCATTTTCTTATATAAAAAAAAAATCCTTTTATCATAGTATAAACCTTAACATATAAAACCTAATGCACTTAATCTTATAACAACTCTAAACACTAACACACTAAATTCGTTTAACTAAACAAATCTACACTTTAGCACTAAATATTAAATTTTAAAAATTTAAACCTCAACACTCTAAATAGTATTAAAAAAAATCTCAACCATAATACTAAGTTTAATATTTTTGATGTTCCATACACTCCTTCCATTCCGATTTCGTTATAATAGTTTTACTTTTACACAAAGCTTTTTACTAAATAATTTTATATAACAAATAATTGATAATTGAAAAAAAATTTATTTTTATACAAGTAATTGTTACTAAGTATTTTCACATGAATCTAATTTCTTTTTCAATTGTCATTCGTTAGTTATACAAAATTATCAAGTTAATTTATATAAAATTAGAGTTTACCAGCACCCACAACACTAGATGATGCATTGAATAAGGCATAGGTTTACTAAGGTTAAGATCTTAGTTCTAGTTTTTGTAAAACCAATCCCCCCTCCCCAAATTTCCCCATGTTCAAAATTTAAAAAAATAAAATAAAGTTTAGAACAACTAAAAAGGACTAGAGGGAGAACTAAGTTTAATTTACTAAGTAGAAAAACTAATTAATAATTTAATAAAAAAGTATTTTACTGGATACTAATGATTTAATTAATTCAATAGTAATCTCTTATTATTAAAAATAAAATATCATAAGTTTAAATTATAGAATATACAAATATAATTGAATAAGAGATAAAAATGAATTACCTTCCATTATACAAAAAAAAAAAAGAAGAAGTATTTTACATGTTGAGTTGCAAGTTAAAAGTGAAATCCAACCCATAAATGTATTAAAATACACCTAATAAAATATTTTCTTATATAATTGTGTTAATAATAATTTAATAATTTTATCACACAAATTACAATTTTAATATGCAAATAGATTTTTAACATAAAATATATAAAAGAAATGGACAGGCAGTCCGTCAGTCCTTTTTGGGGCCAACAGAAAGCATTTCATTGTTTTGATAATTTGAGAAAGGAGAGGAAGATGGGCCCCCAAAAAAAGGGGAGGAAAACAGCGGCCTGCGAGAGACGTTGTGCTCAGATGCAGGTGACCGTGACCACGGTTTTATGGGTGTTGGGTTTGGAGGTTTACAACAAATTGTTAATTGTTAATTTTAATTAAATAAATTAAATATTTTAAATTATAAATAATTATTATTATTAATTATTACATTTTAACTATTAATTATTAATTATATTTGAAAACGTTTTTGTAATTGAGTGACTATCTCTCCTTTAAAAAAAATTATTAATTATATTTAAACAGTAGATCCAAACAATTACTTAGAATGGATGAGCCCTGAATTCTCTTGACAATGTTAGTTACAATATTTTTTGCACATATTTATATAATATTTTGTAATTTATACATTTAATAAATTATTTATTCTTACTTTTTTTTAAAAGAATACAACAGTTACCTTATTCAAAATTAATAAAAAAATTATTAAATAATTTAATAGAATTTATAAATCTTTTTCATACATTATTTATTAAATTATTCATTAATTTAATTTTATGTAATAATATATCT